TTCTGTTGTGGATAGAGGACAGATGTGAGGACAGGAGTTGGTGTGATGTTGACAAACCACGCAAAAGGAAGCTATGCTCTGAAGGTGTTAATAAAGATGTCACCATGCAGAAATTTCCCTTCTATAACTTCTACTTTTTTGATTGCCTATTCTTCACTCCTTAGTGAAACCAGTGGGCTTAAAGAAAAGAGGAAACCACAAAAATAAAAAAAAACTAAAGATATCACCAAATTTAGGTTGGTCATGTCTGCTCATATCCTTTGGAAATCAGGATGGCTAAGAGTCGAAAAGTACAGAAGTCATTAAATCCTTTGTCTTTCTAGTCCCTGAAACTTCTCCCTGGGTTTCTGTTTGACCTCTGCCTGATAGGAACTTCACTGCTTAATTGACAGTCCCTTTCATTGGTGAAAAGTAGAAGGGTGTGGCCTGAACTTCTCTCTCTCTTTTTTTTTTTTAAGATTTATTTATTTATTTGAAAGGCAGAGTTACAGAGATGTAGAGAAAGAGAGAGACAGAGAGGTCTTCCATCCACTGGCTCACTCTCCAATTGGCCACATAAGCCGGAGCTGCGCTTATCTGAAGCCAGGAGCTTCTTCTGGGTCTCCCATACTGGTGCAGGGGCCCAAGGACTTGGACCATCTTCCACTGCTTTACCAGGCCACAGCAGAGAGCTGGATGGGAAGTAGAGCAGCCAGGACTTGAACTGGGGACCAAACTGGATGTCAGCACTGCAGGTTGTGGCTTTACCCGCTAGGCCACAGCACCAGCCCCAAACTTCTCTGTATATAACATTGATCTTTGGGCTTACTTCTACTTCAGGAACTTAAATTAGAATAAATCTTTCTCATCCACCGAATGATTCTTGTATAACATGGCACCTATCACACATTTAATGTCTCTCTCAAGATTTACCACTCTTACCCATCTCCATCCATGATTTGAAATCAATTGTCTTATCACAAAATGGACATTGACTAAGGAATTGGGGAAGCAAATTAGTCCCCTGAAAACCATTTAGGTCAGATGCCTTCACTCAGGACTAAAAACACACTAGTTAACTAAGAATGAGAAACTTAGGGAGCGACCAATGTTGTCACACAGTGGGTTAAGCTGCTGCCTTAGACATCAGCATCCCATATGGGCACTGGTTTGATTCCCGGATGTTCCACTTCCAATCCTGCTCTCTGCTAATGCTGCTGGGAAAGCACCTGAAGATGGTATTTGGGGAGCCCTGCTACCCATGTGGGACTCCTGGATGGATTTCCTGGCTCCTGGCTTTAGTCTGGCCCAGCCCTAGCCATCTGGGGAATGATTCAGGGGAGGAAGATAAGTCTCTCTCTCTTTAATAAATAAATACATCTTCGAAAAAATTAAGAAATTTACAGAGCACAGACAATTTCAGGCTATTCTACTATGTTTACAGAACTTCACATTGACTAACTCATCAAAGCAGTTACTTATGAGAAGTCAGCTGGATGTGTGAAAATGTAGCAAAACAAAAATTGTCTGTCCACAGGGCCCTTCCAGGCCTCTTCCCAGCACAGCAGTAGGGCTGACTGAGAGCAGCTGGTGCCTGCTGCCTGCCCTCTCCGTTTTTAATTGGCCCATTGCAGGTGCTTCCTGGTGTGGAGGCCACAGCGTGGGGCATGGTTCTGAAGCCCAGCCTCAAGGGGAAGTTACTGCGCATCAGAAAGAAGTGCCAGAGGGAGCAGCAGCCTTCAGAGTGCTGAGGCTTCCCACCGCAGACCCGCACTCCTCCCATGGCTGGCGGGCCCAGCCACAGTTTAGAAGGAAGAATCACAGAGAATGAAAGAAAGGAGTGCTTCAAGATTCTAAGAAAAGCAAGAGTGTGACACATCTGCAAGAGGCTGTATCTAACCATGTACTGAACCTTGAAAATCTCTTTCAACTTTTGAGACAACCAAATCCATGCTGCCTATTTATGAGCTCCCCCAACCCGCTAATATTTCATTGTCATTTCATGATAGGAGTCCTATTTTTTTTTTCTTGTTTCTGTCTGTCCAAGTCATTTGAAGCTACCATTACAGAAGGGCTATGTCAATATTTGGGCAAATCTGAATTTTTACCATCTGCACATTCCTTGAATGTGTTAAAAATAAGTCTTAAAACTTATGTATGTGTTTGTGTGTGTATGCATGTGTGTGTGATATGTACAAATGCAGATTCATCACACTCCTACTGTTCAAAACGAGGGCATAAAGTGAGGAAATTTTGGAAAAGAGCTGTCTCATTAACTTATAGCTGTGCCTGCTGGGCCAGGAACTGTAATGCGTCCACCGAGGGCAGATCTTCGAAGCCCCCGCGGTGGAAATACAGCCCAGGTCCCTTGGGGAATTAGCTGTAGGTGGCCAGAAGAGTCCCTCTGTAACGCTTTGCTACGACACCTAAAACACCAACAAAGGATGTTTATTTCTTTTTAGAAAATGGAAAACCTCTGGGAATGGTTGTGGCACAGGTGAGTTTAAAGCTTTTCTCTGGGACATGGTTAAGATTGTAGCTTTACTCTGGCTCTGGGAAGCCAGAATGAGTAGCAAAGCTATTTTGAAAGGATGAGAGTGTAGGGGTGCAAGAGGAAAGACGGGAGTCCAGCCACTTGAGAACAATCTGTGCAGGGCAGAGAGAACCTAGTGGGGCCCTGGGGCCAAGGGCAAGGCCAGGGTGGGGGGAGTTAGTGGGTGAGATAACTTCCCCAGCCACCACTGTAGTCATCTGACATGGTTCTACCATTGGCTCGGCAGTTAACCAGCTGGGGGAAATCTGATTAGTCATATATTTCGGGTCCATCTCCTTACTTCAAGAATGAGGAGGCTGGACTAGAACGGTCCTATTTCTAACTCAGTTATGGAGGGCGCTAAGGTTTCTATGAATAAATTTTGACTGGGGCCAGGAGTTGGTTGTATGAAGAAAGAGTGGATGGGGAAGGCCCAATAAATGCCTATTCTTTGCCTGTTGCATTTCCACTTCAGGTTTCATCCAAAAATATTTATTCTACATATATTATTTAATATTTAATTAGACAAAAAGATATGCTGTAACTATATAGAGTGAAAATAATTAGCCCAGGTAATTTCCAATATTTTTACCATCTTTTCAGCCTTCACATTTGATGATCTTAATCTAAGAAATGTAGATTTATTCATGAGTCACCATGAGAACCCTAAAATATGAGCAATCATCTTGGAGAACAGGGGAAATGTCACACAAAAATTAAAATAAGTAAATAAATAAAAAGCATTTTCAACCTCATTTCTTAAGTCCAGTGAATGCCATTTACTGATTTATTGTCCCTAGCAATAGTGAAAACTTTCCCGAGTCTTCTGTTGCTATTATTATTTGTTTTTTTTTTTCAAAATAAAAGCTGATCATGTCAGAACACTCATAGAACTATAGCTGCGCTTTAAATGTTTCCACTAACAAATTTTCAGTAACAAGGTAAAAATAATTAATTCACTTTAAATTTACAAGATAACTAAGTCTTTAAAGAATCACGTATAATTTTGGAAATTTGATTCTCTTTAGTTATTAGCAGTAGAAAATAACAAAACCAATGTCTGTACACAATAAACATTTTGTCTGCCCCAAAATAAACAAGGTACCTAGTTTGGAATATAGTTCATTCATTAGTTCCTTAGTTTTGATCTGTTTTTTTTTTTTTTTTTTCTGAGAGTTGATTCAAAAACTGTTATTGAGAACAATCAGGCACATGGTCACTGAAAACATTTGGCTTAGTAAATATTGAATAATGCATATTTCTGTTTTATTTTTGCTTTTTGGTGGTATATCATGATTTCTTTATAACTACAAATCTCTTACTCCTCTTGCCAGATCATTCAGGAACAGAAGAGAATCTCAGTCCTGGAGGAGCTGGGGTTAGCCTGTGTGACACAAGGGAGGTGAAAATGCAAAAGCAGGTCAAACTGTGCCTCGCACGTGCTCTGCTGATGCCTTAAGCACTGGGAGAATCTAGAAAATTATGTGATTGATTTGGACTGACTCTACTCAAATATACATTGATTGATAGATTAATTAGTAGTAACTGCAAACAACCCTTGTAAATGGGGAGCTGCTTTCCAATTCTGACTTTTTCTGATCCACTGAATAATTCATACAGGTAAAAAGCCCCACATGCTAAATATGCCTGTAGTTTTTATTAGATGGAAGGAAAAGTGTTTGCCAGGATACTTTTTTACAAGAATCTGTGAATTTTTATTTGAAAAATCAATGGTTTTCATTTTTCTTTGAAATGTCTTCAGAGTGTTGCTATCTAAACCTTGCTTCAAGCTATCAGAAAACACTTTGTTAGAATGTAGAAAGATGAAAAAGCCATTAATTTTAGGTGAATGAAGACTGTACAGGCGAGATTTGTGATACAAAAAATCTTCATAAATTATTAAATAATCCAGAAAGATGGTTTCATCAAGTAAATTTTCCGTTGTTCCTGTTTCTTAAAGCTCTTTTTGGCTGGCTTTAAATTGTTGAGGTTTTTTATTCATTTATGTTTAAAAGATTTTGGTTTCTCTGACTGCATTCATTACACACAGTCACAAGCATTACATTCCAAGGCAGAACCTGCTGTAGTAAAACAAGATTAGATAGAGCAGACTCTGTAGGGAAAATTGTGGGGATTTTATAGACATTAAAAGAAGTAAAATAATAAGAAACTGAAATCTATTTCTTTAAGAACTCTTCCAAACCTCAAATGAATACAGTTAAGTTATAGTTATTTATTTTTCCAAATTGAATGATTCTGGTATTTACTTCTATAAATAATATCTCATGCAGTCCTCTCTTTATTCAGTATAACTTTAAAGTGTTCATAAATAAATATCCATGACTAGAGTTACCACTTTAACATTATATCTTTGATGACAGCCTGTAAATAGAGAAACAAAATCTCAGCTCTTGCAATTCATAAAATAAAATCCACTGGTTTAATGCATTTACTTTCCAAAATCGCCAAACCCAGCGCAGTGACTTACTAAGGTATCTGGCGTCGACAGCCTCGTGGTGTTCAGTCCTACCAAGGATGGGAGAATTTGGGACATCCAGTTTGAGATCATTGCCATTGTACTAAGCACAGCGCCAAGCTTCAGCAGTGGAGGACTCATTGCTGTAGAGCTAATGAGTTTTCATAGTGACTGATTAGGAGCCTGGTGCTGGGCTGGCAGCGGGAGGCGTGACTGCAGCATGCCACATCTACAGCATGAAAGAGATCAACTTCCCCAGCTCTAGTCACGGGGAAAGCTTACAGAGCCTCCCTTCCCACCCACATGGGAAGTGCCCTGCTCTTCCTCTTCCTCCCTCCCCTGACACTTTGCTGGATTATCAAACAAAATATTCTGGCTACGCCTTAGGTGGTGATTCTCAGAGCAGGGGTTGGAAGGACGGGGAAAGTGAGCCTTTCCTGCTCCAGCAGTCAGTTACCATCAATGCAGCCCATTTCCTCTGGGCTTTGTGTACGTATAATCAGCTGCGCTTTACCCTTCATAAAAAAGATACTTTTGTAAATGGAGGTCTGCCAAAGTGCACATTTCAAACACCAAATTTAATATCTACAGATTTCTCTGGGCAAGGGCAGAGTGCTTTTTAGAAACAGCATGAAAATAAAATCTGCAAATAATTTCCAAGATGATCAGATAGTGAGTTGGAGACACATGTTTTAAACAGTAATCTAAAATTGGCATGGTTGCTTTAAAAATATAGTCAAAGATTAATAGCTACTGCCTGATGGCAAATGTTACTGTAAAACACTCTACACCTGAACAGAGAGAAAAAGCAGCCTGGGAAGAAAGTTCTCTAATAGAATTTTCTTATATTTCCAGCTTTGCTTTTAAGAATGAGTGCTTTGCTTCCAGGTGCTCAATCACACAGCAAACTCCTTTAACTCTATTTTCACATTCTGAAGACTAATAGACTGATGTTGAAAGTCTGTGTAGTGAGAAAAGGTGTGACGTATTGAAAAAGGAATGGGATTTGGACTTGGGGAGGCTGAGACTCCAGCCTTGTTCTCCTCTGGTAAGCTGTATAACCGGGCAGTGACTCAATATTCCTTGGCTTCAGTTTTGCTTATCATCTAAGGGGTTGGATTTGATACTCTCCATGGCCGCTTCTAGCTCTGAAATTCAATGATCTGCTATCAGAGCTCTGTTGACAAAATGGGATATATTGAATCTAGAGCTTACGTGTAATTTTATTATACTCTTTTTACAAATATTGCAAATTACCCACATCCAAATCTCAGGTCCCGAATGGAATAAATCAGAGACCATTGCTTGCATGATGTATGTGTGTTAGAATAAAAATATACAGAGAAGACATGGAAGGAAGTAAGGATGAATGAAAATTAAATGAAAAGAAATAGGTTATAAAAAGAAAAAATATTGTTTTGATTCCTTAGGAGAATTCTGGAGTTGTTTGCATTTGAAATTTTTGTCTAAAGATTTATACTTTTCTTAAACAGTTTTGGCAGGGGAAATAAAGAAACGTATTTAATAAAATTGAAATTATACATATTTATAGTGTGTGCTTGTTTTTGTGTATTCTTCTCTCAAAAACAGCTTAAACTGTTTTTTAAATTGGAAGCTAAGAGATTCCTCAAATTTTCTTTATGTTTATTATCATGGAATCCAGCCTACTTTTTTCCTTCAAAACACATCCAAATATTTCAGTTGGCTCTTATATTCTAGCCTCACTGACCTAATAGCCAAATATTATTTTTATATTTCAAAAAATCTAGCCATGATAAATCATAAGAATAGAAGCACACACACATATCTATCTATCTATCTATCTATCTATCTATATTTATGTGTTAGACATAGTAGGAAGTAACACAGACAATTCAGAGAAAGGACTATAGAATTTTAAAGTAGTATTCCAATGAAGTAATGACAAAAACTAAAGTAGATCTAAAAATTTAAATGTTTGAAAAATGCACCTGGAACTTTCTATGACTTTAATAAAGGAAGAATTAATGTCTTTTCAAGAGCTTCATTTCCAAAATTGAAAATTAATATGCATGCAATTAGTGTATAATTTGAGAAGCAATGTGACATATGGTAATTATATTTATTAATGAACTATCAGTCAACTAAATAATAGCATCTATGGAACAATATGAGATTGAATGCAAGGAGAAAACAATACTCTTGTTTGCAAATTAAAGGAAGGAAGGAAGGAAGGAAGAGAGAGAGAGAGGAAGGGAGGAAGGAAGGAGGAGAAAGAAAAGCAATACAAATGGAATGTTTTATATAATTTTCCACAGATGCAATAACTTCACTAAGGAACTGAAAGAGCACAAAGGTGAAAAGTTATGATTCACGGAAGTTTATGAACAACATAAAAGCTAAAATATGCTGTTTTTAGAATAGATTTAAATGACACACATTGAAGTAGAAAAGCTCAGATTTCAACGATTATCAGTTATGGGAAACAAAAATAGCTACAATTTGCAAAGGGCTAAATCGCTTCCATATCTTCATAATCTATTGAAGTCATTTCCATTTTAAAAGTTGAGTTCCAGTTTGTAGAGGGAAGGGGATTATTCTACATAGACTTAGCAACCTGTATGCAGGCCAAGGAGACAAGTAATTGCAGAAATTTCAGAAGCTTAGTATGACTAATAATAGAATAAATGGCAAGGTCTTAGGCTGGAAATTCTGGCTGTCATGGACCTTTATCTTTTTTGTAATTTAAGGATGTGAAGCAAAGTTGTGTGGTCTTTGGCTTTATGTCCTGAATTAGTTGGTTTTCATTTTATTATGTAGGATAGGCAAGCAGGACGTGTAGAGAGAAAAAGCACAGGAAGGTCACTTAGAAAAAAATTCTGGAAGTTTAGGCAAGATGATAATAAGGTCCTGGAATTATTGTTAGTAGGATTTAGGAAGATGAATTCCATACCAGTTTGCAGCAGGAGAATTGGCCATCTTTACCCACTGAATGAATGTGAGGTATGGGCAACAAGAATTCACCTGGGAGAACTTCCAGGTTTGTGGCCTGGATAATGAGTATCATTCATCAGGATACAAAACACTGCTAGGAGTATGACTTTTAGGGAGAAGACAGAGTTCATTGTCTAACCTTAATGGGCTAATGAAAATAACGTGTTGTTTGTACAAGACAAAATGGTTATCTTAGGAACTCAGTCTTAAAACTACCAGAGGTTTATTTTAGACATTAATTCGGCTTATTCTCGAGATTTAATTACTTATGCATTCTTTTGAACAAATAAACAAAAACAATCTCTCTCACTAATAAATAGTGAATGTATTACTAAATCTAATAATGTCAGAAATACGTGACCTGACTACACACTTATTTTCTTTATAGAATCCCATACTGGCTCAATAAATATAAAACCTACAACTGGGCATTATTGCTAATGCAATGTGGGAAGATATTGATTAACGTATTTATTCATTAGATTTTTATAGTAGCCTTCATTTTTATTAGTCAGAGAATATTTCATTATAAATGTATGTAATAGATAATTAATAAGCAGGTAAATATTAAGTGAGAAAGATTTGTAAGTAGTCATATGTAATATTGACATGCTCCATCATGGGAATTTTGCCTTTTCCTTGATTTGTATCACATAAGTTTAAAATTAATTTTCAATATATATGTCCTAGTTTGGGGGTTATATGACAAGTGTTTGTGGTTTTCTGGGGAATCTAACAACTGCAGATAGGAACTGTTAAATACATGAAAATAAAAACAATGTCCCATAAAATATGAAAGAAAACCAGTTAGATAATTGTACTCCAAAAGTTTAAGAAAAATGAGAAGAGGAACTGACATTTCTCGATAAAAATAAAATATAAAGAATAGTCTACGTGTACTTTATTTTTTGTAATTTAAAACATATGTTAAATTTGCTGATGGTTTGAGGCAGAGAGAAAAGCAGCTTATTAGATGTAGTTGGAAAGACACAACTATAAGGACTGAAGAATTATTGAAGAAGGAGCAAGGGGAGGGGGACGAGAAGAAAGGAGTCCAGGAGATCAGCAATTGGGTACAATACAAAGGTTGAGTGTTTAAAAGAACGGCTAAAGCAAGGACCTCTAAAAAAACAATGAGCACTGGTTAGCAAGTTGGAAAAGTTGGAAGGGGGCATAAAATAGAAGCTCCTGCTGAAATCACTTTGGAATGCTTCATACCTAGGAGGGGGGTTTTGTGTGAGAATGACCAGGTACATAAAAAGCTGGCCTCCCTCTGTGCATTTTGAAGACAGTTTGGAAGGTTATTATTTCTTCAGGTTCTTCCACTTACCAGCAAGGTATAATTTAGTCTTTCTGGACCTTCATTTTCTCATCTGTAACATTGGAGTAAAATTACCCAAAGGAAATTTTTTTTTGAAAATTTTTGATTTTGAAAGATTTTTGAATTGAAAGATTTTGATTGAGAGAATGTATTTGAAAGCACCAATAGCCTGTCAGATGGTCAATAAAATGCAGCCCTATCTTTGCAAAGAAATGCCATGGTAGAGGCAGGTTAAAAAGAGTAAGTCACCTGAAGGAAGAGTTAGTGGGAAGTTTTGGGAATTTGCAAGAGCTGGAAGAATCAATCTGGGATATGTGATGTCTGACAGCCTGGGCACTGCCATGAAGAGAATAATGTGACTTTGCTGCATTGCACTAAGTCATTCTGGAACATAGGGCTGATAGAGCCCCAGAGTGACTCACTTGGCCGACTCCAAGTAAAGGAAAGGGATTGCTGTTTTTGCTTCCCCTTCACTGAGAAATTGAAGCAACTACAAAAGAAGTCCTATAAGGTCCCACTATCATATCAATCTACTCCTCAGCAGTCCCCACACACAAGGGCATTTCAAAAAGTTCACAGGAAACAGAGTTTAAAGGGAAGGGGGTAGTCATTTTGCCCAGTGGTGAAAATGCCCACTTCCTATACTGCAGTATCTGGGCTCATTCTTTCCTCCACTCCTGAACCTTGATTCCTGTTGATGTGGATCCTGGTGATGGCTCAAGTAATTAGTTCCCTGCACCCATATGAGAGAACTGAATTTAGTTCCTGTCTTCTGATGTTGGCCCCTTGTGGGGAGCAACTCGGACTAGACTAAGTTACTGGAATTAAGACTTATTCTATGCATCTGCTCTCCCACAATATGGCGCTGGGGAGGAGGAAACAGCTTCTACACAGCTGCCTCCAGTTCAGCCAATAAACTGTAGGACCTGCTCCTGATTGGAGGAGAGCAGCATACTCGGCATGTGGGTAGCAGAGTTGGGATTGGTGGAAGAGGACTACAAAGGAGAAGAGAGACAACATGCACCAGGAACATCTATCTGAAGGAACACCTGTGCAGCCCCCGAGAGAGCCTGCCGGTGGTGTGCCGCTCCCCCGCGGAAGTGGGGAAAGTGGCTAGGGGGAACCGCCCTTCCACGGAGGTCGAAGGGACGGTAGCCAACCCGGGAAGAACCAGCAGCAAACCCGGGAAGGGCCGAGCAGACAAAAGAACAGCGCAGGGTCCTGTGTCGTTCCTCCATGAAGAGGGGGAGCGACAGCCCCTTAACCATTGTAGATATTTGGGGGGTGGAGGGCATGAACTAGTAGATAGGATCTCTCTCTATCTCTCTTTTAAATAAATAAATAAATGTTAAATTTGGTGCAAAAAAGTTTGGAATCCATACATAGAAGAGGTCTCTAAAACATCCACGGTTTGGGACACACTTGGTGGTGTAACAATTTAAACCATTGCCTCTGATGCCTGCATCTCATACGGGTGCTAGATTGTATTCCAGCTGCTCTGCTTCCAATCCAGCTTCCTGCTAATGGCCTGGGGAAACCAGCAGAGGATGGCCTAAGTGTTTGTGCCCCTGCCACTCTGTGGTAGACTCAGATAAAGCTCCTGGCTCCAGCCTGGTCCAGGGCTAACTGTTGCTGCCATCTGGAAAGTAAATCAGATGATGGAAGATCTCTTCATCTCTCTCAATGTCTATCCCTCTCTGAGCTCTTTCAAAACAAATAAATGAATCACTTAGAAAAATAAAAACATCCAAGAAAATGCGTACCATGAAAAACTATACGTTTTTAAATTTCATTTTCCGTGAACTTTTTTTTTTTAAAAGATGTATTATTTGTTTAAAGAGTTACAGAGAGGCAGAGGCAGAGAAAGAGAGCTCTTCCATTCACTGGTTCACTCCCCAAATGGCCACAATGTCTGGAGATGGGCCGATCTGAAGCCAGGAGCCAGGAGTTTCTTCTAGGTTTCC